TTTGCCATTGTTGTTGTGCTGTTCTCTTGTTTCCTGACCAGGAAGTTCAGCTTCCGAAAAATGTAATACTACATCCGCTCATTTTTTTAGTACTATTTTAGTGGTCTATTATATTTGAATAAAATTTTAATGAAAATTTAATTTTCGAAATAAGATTAAACAGATGTGCCATTGTTATTTATTTGATCGGATCCCTCTCGTGCTCCAAAATTTGTTTAACATAATCCATTAGTTACAAATTGCTAGCAACTAATTACCAAACAAGACCATCTTATATACAAAACTAAGAAGTATATTTGAGTAAAGATTGAAAAAGTCATAATATCTCAAGATTATTGGAGCCAAGTACATTATGTATTTTGATGAATTAGGAACCATTTTTTAGTATAAAGTGGAAGGATTTATACATAAAAGGCTAATCTACTAGTGCTAATACGCATGGATATGACAATTAATAGAGATTTGTAGCCTTGGAGGATATGCTATGGAGTGTTGTACCATATTGTGTTAGGTTATCTTTCGATTATTCTTCTCAAAAAGTTGAGACCCTAACCAGACATAGCATCTAGGAGGATGTGTTCACACTACCGCTGATGAGAGTCGATCCAACTTATTCTTCCCAAACTTCACCCCTATAACCAATTGAACTATTCGTGCGGGCTGAATCAAAGTATTATTATTATTGTTCTAATTGAGTGTTTGGATGTGAACTTGTGCACTACTGATGGCCAAATGATTAAGTTATGAATTGCAAGGAAGCTCTCTCCTGAACCAAGAATCGTGGCCTTACAACTATTTCTTTGGAATCTGACTGTGCTAATTCTATCTCGACTTTGTCTCGCAAGCTCAAGGATTGTTCCTACACTGGCGCTATCTGTTGAGAATAATGAGCCAAAGTCGATTTAATATCGCAAAATAATATTTATATATACACACGAAAGTATACAAAATATTATTCGATATATATCCGAAATATATATATATATATATATATATATATATATATATATATATATATATATATATATATATAAATTAGACCCCCACGGTTATATACATCTATATCTACGAAAAAGATATATGTATATCAACCAAAATGGAATTTATAATCCCCAGATTATAATTCCAACCAAAGGAAAACAAAGTGTAGTACAAGGATTTTAGCTTAGAAGCATAATCTCGAAACCGGAGAAGAAAGGAGATGAAGAAGAGTGGTAAGTACGAGTCGAGTGAAACACCCGTTTTCCTTAAAACCTTATTTGTCACCTCCCAAAAATGCTAGGAGCATTGTGGCCTAGGTTTCCTAGGATAAAACGTACTACGGTTCAACGTTTGAGCACCCAAACGAATGAACCCGGCGAACCTCCCAAAAGTGCTAGGAGCGTTGTGGCCTAGGTTTCCTAGGATAAAACGTACTACGGTTCAACGTTTAAGCACCCAAACGAATGGAGCATGAACAGAACACAGCAGCAAGACAAGAGTCGGAGCAGGCATTAAATGTCAAATCTGTTGCTCCAACTTATAACTTTCAAACAGTAATCAGTTCGTACCTACAATGTATGCCGACGTACACGAGTTTAGGCTTGGTTCAAGCCTCCTCCCCTGCGCAAGAGAGAGAGCCTTTATGCTATACAATTCAATAAGCCTAAAAAGAGCTCTTGTATAAATAGTTGGGCAAATCCTCTTCCCAAACCAATGTGGGACAAAAGTTTCACTTTTTCCCTTCATTTTTTCAACTTAATGGGTCTACTTTGAGAATCAATATCTCATTTACCCATTATCCGTTTTGAGAGTCAATATCTCTTCGTATCACTACGAAAAACCCGAATCCACTTTGACCCGACCCAAATCGGAAGTGGACCCCACTGATAAATGTACCACAAAATAGGTACTTAAAATGTCATTTTTTTTGTTGCCCAAAGGTATCCCCCAGCCGATAGCCAGAAGACTAATCCCCCGTCCCTACTGTCAGCACACTAAGGGGCCATTTGGTTCGGGTTATTTAAGATAATCAAGGTTATATTTAGTTGGTTATATAAGATTCCTATGTTTGGTTGGAGCTATGTAACATTTCCATAGAATAAAATTTACCCTCCACATCACATTTTTCCCTATTTTGAAGGGAATGTGATTCCCTTGAAATTCTTAGGTATTAAAGGATTCCCTTGGCATTTTACAAACTTTGCCCTTCACTTTCCATCCCATTGTTTTGTTTTTTACCGAAAAGTTTAAAAAAATAAAATCAAAATTAACCTTTCGGTTAAAGCAAGCAAGCTAAGTTCACTTTGTTTAACATGAAAAATCTACTTTGTGGAAACCACATTTGAATTTGTAGAAATTAAAGAATCTGTATGTATGAAGTCACAAGTCAACTTTTCGGATGAAGGAATGAAAATTTTATATATATATATATATATATATATATATATATATATATATATATATATATATATATATATATATATCTCGAATTTTGCATGGTTACATGCATTGGAATATTGAAATGCATGAAAATATATTGAGGGTATTAAAGTAAAATAATAATTATAACAATACTTCAACCAAACATGTTTATATTATATATTTCAATTTTTACCAAACACAGGAATCTAATATTTCATGAACTAAACGGCCCCTAAGTGGTAGGGGACTGGCCAAATAGTTTGCTTCATTCACATAGGTGGGGATTAAACCCCCAACTTCATGTTTAAGGGACGAGGTGTTGAACCACCACACCAACCATGTTGGTTAACTTAAAATGCCATTTTAATGCTATTTTTTCAACACTATCATTGATAATTGTTACAATTTTATGCTTGCTTTGATTTTTTTTTTCTTGTCAATATATTAAGAGAGCAGCGAACCTGATTGTCTATACATTATCTAGGGAAGCAGGCTCTCAGTCTGATTCTCTCTCTTTGGAGCACACTCCTCCTAATTGTATTCTCTCGTTTTATTTCATATGCTCAATTAAATCTAGTTGATGCTTTGATTTTAAAAAAAAAAAAAAATCATTTATTAATTGTTAAGTTGTTGATGAGTTTCTTTGGATATTTTTTAAAATATATTCATCGTGGATCATGCTTTTTTTTTTTTTTAAGACCATCGTGGATCATGCTTATTATATTCATGCGAATTGCCAAATCTATTACTTTTTTTTTTGAAGGGACCAAATCTATTACTTTACTCCGGAATATAATAATAATCCCCATCAATCAGCGACGAACAATTTTAAATTTAGAATATTGAATTGAAATGATATGACACCTCACCTTCTCTATTCATTTTCTTTTTGGAGAAAAGAAGGGCAGAGCCCCAATACAAAAAATGCAAATATCAATCATTACGGGTGTATTTTTTATTTGTCTTTTCATGAAATTAGTGTGAATTTATCATCAGGTATACATAAAAGTACCACACAATATTCAGAAATATAAAATTAGGTATGTGAAGGTATAGTATATTTTTTTGCTGTGTGGTTCATTTTTGTGGTGTATTGATGCATTTCATTATTGTGCATTTTTCTAACACTATTGGTGACTTTATTAACACTGTTGGTGTTTTTTTTAAGCGGCTGCACTGACCGCACGTTAAGGTACGGTCGCACCTGAACTAAACTATATATATATATATATATATATATATATATATATATATATATATATATATATATATATATATATATATATATATAGGGACGCACTCAGGTGCGAATAAGTGCCCAGGAAGGAAATGCGAACGAATCAGCGCGCGACACGTGTCCAGATCTAATAACTTAAAAAAAACGCGGTGGCATTTCGTAAATAATTGAACATCAAAGTGCAAGTAAAATCTCTTATAAGTGCACCTATTTTCACCTATAAGTGCATGTAATTTTGCCTTGTTAGCATTCACTTTCCGCAACCATTCATGCACCTGGGTGTGCTTATAACTATATATGCAACTATTTATAACTATAGGTGCAACTACTTATAACTATAGGTGCACCTACTTTCACCTATAAGTGCATGTAATCTTGCCTTGTTAACATTCATTGATCTGAGTTCAGCGGGTAGTAATACACCTGAAAACCACTCGCAAACATTCATACACCTAGATGCAACTACTTATACCTATGTGTGCAACTACTTAGAACTATAGGTGCAACTACTTAGAACTATAAGTGTAACTAAGCATTGATGCTCAGTGTAAATTTTTACTTGCACCTATAATACATTTTACATGCACTTGTAATACATTTTACTTGCACTTCGATGTTCAATTATTTACGAAAATATCACCGCGTTTTTTTTAAAAATCAGTGTTTCTCATCCATTAGATCTGGACACGTGGACGAACAGAATCCATTCCTATTTCGCGCCTAGGCGAGCCGTTCGCACCCGAGTGCAAGTATATATATATATATATATATATATATATATATATATATATATATATATATATATATATATATATATATATATATATATATATATATATATATATATAAGCTCAAATGCGGTCAAAGCTTCCAGTGCAAATGCACTATGAGGTATGCAAAAACACCCCAATAGTTTTAAAAAATACACCACAATAAAATGCACAAATACACAACAAAATGTGCCACACATCAAAAAATTGCATCATACCTCACTACACCCAATAGTGCTTTTCCGAACACTATGTAGTACGTTTATGCGTAAGTAATGATGCGTGATCGCACGAAAAGCCTTGACTACATTGAAACTTAACCTATATATATAATTTTAGTTAACCAATGATTTCGACCCGAATTAATCTTAATCAAAATTTTATAAAACTTTTAATCATTAACCAAACCATAGTATTTCGGTTAAAATGCAATTAACCAAAATTTTTTTATATTATTTTGTCAACTAGCACCACCACTACCAAATACCCGGCCCAATGAATATAAAATCGATCATATCCTCCCACGGTCCTAACTACGTTTCCACCCCAACATGATGGCGTGATTTTTTATATATCAAAACATCTGAGAGTGATGCACTACCAAATAGGCAAATACCCAATTAATATAAAATCGATCATATCCTCCTACCTAACCTTTCCACTCCCAAAATAATGGCGTTTTTATCAGCTTTTCTCAGTTGCATTCTTCTTCTCTCCCTGTCGCTTTCTTCTTCTTCTTCTTCTTCTCAGTTTGCAGATGGATGCTACACTTCCATTTTTGCATTCGGCGATTCATTGACCGATACTGGAAACTATCTTAGCCTGTGCTTGAAGGGGCTCCAAACGTACGATAGATTCCCCTTCATCGGTCTTCCACCCTACGGAGAAACCTTCTTCGGCCGTCCCACCGGCCGCTGCTCCGACGGACGTCTCGTTCTAGATTTCATCGGTATTCATTCATATATGCATGTTTCTTTATTCAAGTATCGTTAGCTAGCTACTTATATTAGTTTGATCTACTTGATTGCAGCTGAGCATTTCGGGCTTCCGTATGTGCAGCCGTACTTCGGTGGCGAAAAGTTAAACCTTGAAGCGGGCGTGAACTTCGCAGTCGCCGGAGTTCCGGCGCTGGATGTTGACTTCCATCAGGAAAGGGGAATCGATTTTCGTAACAACATATCCATGAGGACTCAACTCAAATGGTTCACAGATTTGCTCCCTTCTCTCTGCAAAAACTCAAGTAATACATATATTATTGCACGTTTTTAAATTAGTAAATCAAAAATTTTCAGTTTTGTTCACTTGACTATTAATATTTTCATAGAGTAAATTTCAATTTTGATATATTACTATAGGGGCCCTTTTAATTGCAGTTCACAACTTTCAAAAGTGTTAATTTAGTACTTGACTGTGCAATTTTTATAATTATTGGTCACTCCGGTCAAATTTCGCTTGAAAATTTTTAATAGTTAAAATAATGAGGGCATTTTAGTCTTTTTGCATATCTTTTCTTTCTCCCCTGCAAAACACGCTTCAACATGCCTCAATCAGCCGTGATGGGTGCATGCATGTGTTGACACAACCTGTTAACAACATAAGATAAGTCCGGACGAGTTACCGAGAGATACTGAAAAGCACCCGCCAAACTCCGATACTGTGTAGGATTAGCACAAGGAACCTCAGGAGCATCAGCAGGCTTAACAAGTGAAACTGGAGTGGAAACAGGCTTACAATCAACCATACCAGCATGCTTGAGAATATCTTTCATATACCGCTATTGAGACAAGAGCACCCCATCAGGCAGCGGCACAGTCTCAATCCCAAGAAAGAACGACGGCGCACCCATGTCACACACCTTGAACTCCAACGCTAGCTTAGCAACAAGGCCAACTACACGAGCCGAATTAGACCCCATGACCAGAATGTCATCAACATTAACCAGAAAGTAGAGCTGAACATTATCACAAGAATAAATAAATAAAGATACGTCAGTTTTAGAGGGAGTAAAACCAACAGAAACCAAAAAATTATGTAGCCGCATAAACCAAGCACGGGGGAGCCTGCTTAAGGCCATAGAGCGACCGCTGGAGCAAAGAAACATGATCCGGCATCGCCTTGTCCTCATAGCCGGGCGGTTGACGCATATACACAGTTTCAGTTAGATGACCATTCAAAAAAGCATTGTGAATGTCCAACTGGCGGATCATCCAACCACGAGACACAGCCAAAGACAGAAAAAGATGCACCACCATCGACTTAACAACCGGACGGAAAGTCTCAAAGAAATCCTATCCCGCAACCTAATTGAAACCCTTAACCACGAGACGGGCTTTATGTCGTGAGGATTGGAATGTTTTAACTTAACATTAACCAAAGACTAACAATGATCATATAAAGATACAGAGTGAGAGTCCTAGTCTAACACAACTATTACAATCCTAACACTAATAAAGTACTTTTGTTGGGAGAAGAATTAGAAGAACGTTTTATATATAAATAATCCCTAATTAAATATTTAGGGATATCAATTATTAACAATGGTTTCAGGCTGCAAGGAGACATTTAAAAGGTCATTAGTCGTATTTGGACCATTTGGTGGGGACGACTATGCTAACGTCTTCTTTCAGAAGAGCGTAGAGGATGCCCAATCACTCCAGCCTGTAATAGTTGACGCCATCACTTCTGCAATTGAGGTCATTTTTATTTGAGAATCAATCTTCTGATCTTGAGTTCTTGTCACATTATTTAACATATCTATCACGTTCAATGCAGGAACTGATTGAACTAGGAGTGGTAAATTTGATGGTACCAGGAATGCTTGCAGATGGATGCTTAGCAATCACCTTATCATTCTTCTATACTTCCTATAATGCACATGATTACGACCCAATCACTGGCTGTCTCACTTGGCTAAATAAATTTGATGAAAATCACAACAATCTTCTTCAGACTGCATTAGTAGGCATTCGAGAGAGACATCCCCAGGTTTCAATTGTGTATGCGGATTATTATAATGCCAGTTTACAACTTTATCACTCTTCTGAAAAATTTGGTAAGTATCACTACTTGATTGACATCACTACTATTTCAAATAGTGGAGGATATAAGTATAGTTTTTTTTTTTTAAAGGATTTATAAAGAGACCACTTAAAGCTTGTTGTGGAGGAGGAGGGCCATACAATTATAACTCCAGCGTACCCTGTGGTTACCCTCCCTCGCATGCCTGTGTTGATCCTTCCTCTTATATCAATTGGGATGGAGCTCACTTAACTGAGGCAGCTTACAAATGGATCTCCAAGGCTTTGCTCAATGGCCACTTTACCATTCCTCGCAATAACTCATTGTGTAATTTGCCATATGAAAACAAGGCTTATGTATGAATATTATTTTGTGAAAACTCAATAGGTATCAACACATATATTTCATATATGCTATATACATACCGTTGTTGAATAATGTCATTCTCAAAAATAAGCAAACTGATACAATCTTAGGATGCATTTCAATGTTTTGCACCACACTACAGGTGACTTTGATAGCACTATTAGTGCCTTTTTTAAGCGGCCGCACTGACTGCACGTTAAGGTGGGAAGCTACATATATATATATATATATATATATTGATTTTGGTTCCTGCGACAACAAGTCTTTTCGTGCGGTACGTAAGTGCGGCGTACACCATTAAGTATGCATAAATGCACCATAGTGTTCGAGAATACACCATAATGAAATGCCAAAAATACACAAAAAAAAAAAATACACCATTATCAAAAATACACCACAAAAAAAAAAAAAAAAAATACACCACACATAATGGTGTATTTTCAAACACTGTGTGGTGCATTTATGCATATCTAATGGTGTATGCCGCACTGACCGCACGGGAAGACCTGTTCTCACAGGAACCCGACCCTATATATATATATATATATATATATATATATATATATATATATATATATATATATATATATATATATATATATATATATATATATATATATATATATATATATTATATATAGGAAGGTTCAAGTGCGGCAGTGCACTTAGGTGCGGCGGTGCGGTTAATTGTAGGTCATTAGATTAGATAAATCCAACGAATCACATTCATCAAGGCTTTTCCGATATTTTCGCGCGCGTTCTCACAGTACGCGAACTACAAGGTTAAAGTCGTCATTGGGCACCATAATATATCAAATCATAGTGTTGTGTGTTTTATGTTCATCATTGGAGCATTATTAACCTTACTGTGGTGTATTTGAGAATTCGTGTTGGTGCCTTCCCGAGCGGTCAGTGCGACCGCACTAATAGTTATACAAATATACACCATCCGTGTTAGAAAATGCACACCAAAAAAACGTGCACAAATTCGATACGCATCACCAGAACGCACCACTAGGTATGACTAAAAGCATCACACAGTGTTCAGAATACACCATTTGGGTGGTGAGTTATATGGTGTATTTTTTGGGTGTGTTGTGTGTTTTTTGGTGTACTTATGCATTTCATTGTGGTGCTTTTTCCTAACACTATTGGTGTCTTTTGTTAACACTGTTGGTGTATACTGACAAGCGACCGATATAAATAACCACTACAATTACCATAATGCATCATACCTCACTACACCAATGATGCTTTTCCGAACACTATGTGGTATGTTTATGTGTAACTAATAGTGTGTGACATTACGAAAAGCCCTGACTACATTGAAACTTAACCTATATATATAATTTTAATTAACCAATGATTTCGAACCGAATTAATCTTAACCGAAATTCTATAGAACCTTTAATCATTAACCAAACCATAGTATTTGGGTTAAAATGCAATTAAACAATTTTTTTTATTTTTTTTGTCAACCAGGACCACCACTACCAAATACCCAATGAATATAAAATCGATCATATCCTCCTACTATACGGTCCTACCTACCTTTCCACTCCCAACATGATGGCGTGATTTTTTATATATGAAAACATCTTATGAGAGTGGTTCACTACCACAGGCACATATCCAATTATTATAAAATCAATCATATCCTCCTACCTACCCTTTCTACTCCCAAAATAATGGCGTTTTTATCAGCGTTTCTCAGTTGCATTCTTCTTCTCTCCCTGTCGCTTTCTTCTTCTTCTTCTTCTTCTCAGTTTGCAGATGGATGCTACACTTCCATTTTTGCATTCGGCGATTCATTGACCGATACTGGAAACTATCTTAGCCTGTGCTTGAAGGGGCTCCAAACCTACGAGAGATTCCCCCACGCCGGTCTTCCACCCTACGGAGAAACCTTCTTCGGCAATCCCACCGGCCGCTACTCCGACGGACGTCTTGTTCTAGATTTCATCGGTATTCATATATATATATATATATATATATATATATATATATATATATATATATATATATATGTTTCTTTATTCAAGTATCGTTAATTAACTAGCTACTTATTGATTGATTAGTTTGATCTACTTGAATTGATTGCAGCTGAGCATTACGGGCTTCCGCATGTGCAGCCGTACTTCGGTGGCGAGAACTTAAACCTTGAAGCCGGCGTGAACTTCGCCGTCGCCGGAGTTCCGGCGCTGGATGTTGACTTCCATGAGGAAAGAGGAATCCATTTTCGTAACAACATATCCATGAGGACTCAACTCAAATGGTTCACAGATTTGCTCCCTTCTCTCTGCAAAAACTCAAGTAATACATATAATATTAGAATAACGCGATGCACGGGAAAAAATTATGATATTATAAATATAAATAAAAAATAGAAAAACTAAAATATTTTAAATTGTTTAATATAATAATGTTTTCGAGATTTCATTGTTTAAGTATTTATTATTTTTATAGAAAAAAATTACAATTAAAATTAAAATTAAAATTTTGTATGGTTAATATAATCTCTAATTATGTGCATATTAAAATAAACTTATAGAGAGAATTTACATAATTACATTGATTTATTTTTAATTGTATTTCATCTATATTATAATTTTCACAATACAAATAATACCTAAGATAATTACATTTGGAAAGCAAATTTTAAATTTTGTATGAGTAAATTTAAACTCTCTCGTTAGAGGCATGCAAGATTAAATCAACTTTTTTGAAATACAATTAAATAAATTAAACAAATGGATAATTTAATTTTAATAACATTAAAGAGAATTATTGATGTCAATTACCATGTAGTGTAATGGCACATTTGTTATTTTCATTACACAAATAATGTAATTTTGCTGGTGGAGAATTATAGAAGAACGTTTTATATAGGTATATATATATAAACCTTTAATTAAATATGTAGGGATAGAAATTATTAGAGTGAGAGGATTAACAATGGTTTCAGGCTGCAAGGAGATATTCGAAAGGTCGTTAGTCGTATTTGGACCATTTGGCGGTGACGACTATGGTAACGTCTTCTTTCAGAAGAGCGTAGAGGAGAGCTTAGAGGATGCCCAATCACTCCAGCCTCTAATAGTTGACGCCATCACTTCTGCAATTGAGGTAATTTTTAGGAATAAGGTTTAAATTGGCCACTGACTGTAACCTGAAAATATAATTAGGTCACTTAATACAAAAAATTGTAATTAGATCATTGAACACTCTAAAAACGTGCAATTAACCCACTGAACACTCCAACTGCATGCAATTTCACCAGCAGGTTACCATCAATTTTAGCAGGTTACTTGCTTACTTGCAACTGAGTTGTCAATTTTTAATAATTTTTAAATAATTTTTAATAAATTTAAAAAAAATTGAAAAATTAAATAAAATTAAATAAAAATTAAATAAAACGACGGGGTGGCCGCCATCATTTTTTTAAAAATAATTTTTTAATTTTTTTTTTAAAAAATTATTATTAAAATTAATTTAAAATTATTTAAAAATTATTAAAAATATCAACTCAACTGCCACGTAAGCAGGTAACCTGTTATTGATGGTAACCATCTACCAGGTGAAATTGCATACATTTGGAGTGCATGTTCAGTGGCCTAATTGCACTTTTTTTTTTCTCGTTCAGTGGCCTTATTGCATTTTCAGGTTACGTTTAATGGTCAATTTGAACCTTATTCCTAATTTTTATTATATTATTGGAGAATCGATCTTATGATCTTGAGTTCTTATTGTCACATTATTTAACATATCTTTTTTTTTTTTAGAAAACATTATTTAACATATCTATCACGTTCAATATAATGCAGGAACTGATTGAACTAGGAGTGGTAAATTTAATGGTACCAGGAATGCTTGCAGATGGATGCTTAGCAATCACCTTATCATTCTTTTATACTTCATATAATGCACATGATTACGACCCAGAAACTGGCTGTCTCACTTTGCTAAATAAGTTTGATGAAAATCACAACAATCTTCTTCAGGCTGCATTAGTAGGCATTCGAGAGAGACATCCCCATGTTTCAATTGTGTATGCGGATTATTATAATGCCAGTTTACAACTTTATCGCTCTTCTGAAAAATTTGGTAAGTATCACTACTTGATTGACATCACTACTATTTCAAATAGTGGAGGATATAAATATAGTTTGTTTTTTTTAAAGGATTTATAAAGAGACCACTTAAAGCTTGTTGTGGAGGAGGAGGGCCATACAATTACAACTCCAGTGTACCCTGTGGGTACTCTCCCTCGCAGGCCTGTGTTGATCCTTCCTCTTATATCAATTGGGATGGAGCTCACTTAACTGAGGCAGCTTACAAATGGATCTCCAAGGCTGTGCTCAATGGCCATTTTACCATTCCACGCATTAACTCATTGTGTAATTTGCCATATGAAAAAAAGGCCTATGTATGAATATCATTTTATGAGAACTCAATAGGTGTGTTTAGTTTAAACATTGGAATTAGAATGGTAATATAATGGGAATCAAATAATTGATAATGGTAATGAGTTAAAGCAGGAGAAGTCACTTTGTTTGCTAGTTAATAGGAATTGGAATCAAAATAAATAAATAAATAATAAATAAATAAATAAATAAATAATTAATTAAAATAAAAATAAATAAATACATAAAACTATATAATACACACACATACATACGTATATGTGTATATATGCTTGCATGGGCAGCTCAGTTCATTATAGGGGTGAAGTTTGGGAAAAATGACCAGGGATCGAGTCTCACCAACGATAGTGTGGAAGCAACATCTGGGCGCAGTAAGCAAACGTCTAACATCTGCGTTCAACTGAGTTACCATGATTTACATCCTCCCAGACGGGTTGGAGATTCAACTTTTTGGGAAGAATATACGTGTATATAACTATATATTAAAATTTCATATTTAATGCATTGATAATGACCTGTTTATTTTTTTTTTCATTTTTTTCTTCCTTATTTTAGATTTCATTCTTCAAAAGTAGATGAGTAAAAACATGAATTATTAAAGGATTTGAATCCAATAGTATAATTAAAAAAAAAAAAAAAAAAAGTAGGCAAACAAACATGGTAACGGATATCGAAACCTATAATAAGACGCAAAAGTCCCCAATCAAACACACCCTTACATGGACTCCATAAAACATTGCGGAATGTCTTTTGGATGGGTTCTTCGTGTCTATGATTCACATATACGAATATAAAAACATAATTGTGTAAATTTTAGAGAACAACACTAATAACAGTAAAATCTACGATACAGTAACATATATTGCGTACCATGAAAAAACAAGTATCATTATTAGGAGCAAATTATACTTTTGGTCCTGTGACTATTAGGGGTGTGTTAATTTGAGTACGTGACTTTTAAAACTAACAATTTAGTCCTTTAACTATCATTTTTTTAGCAGATTTGGTCCTCCAGGCCAAATTGCCGGTGGAATTTGGCCGGAAAGACGTTCGAATTTTTAAATCAAACGCTATTTTTTTTACAATTAAAAAGACCGAATTACCCCCACTAATATTTGATTTAAAAATTCGAACGTCTTTCCGGCCAAATTCCACCGGCAATTTGGCCAGGAGGACCAAATCTGCTAAAAAAATGATAGTTAAAGGACTAAATTGTTAGTTTTAAAAGTCACGTACCCAAATTAACACACCCCTAATAGTCACAGGACCAAAAGTGTAATTTGCTCCATTATTAATTCTAAAGTCTCATGATTTATATACGTTAGTATGTTACCCACACCTATAACCTATCAATGATCTGGTTTAAAGCGTGCTATCAACTTTAATGACTAGTATTGCAGCAATACGCACGATTGTACATTTTTCAGTACGCGAATGGGCAGGAATGATTAGTCAAATGCTGCTGCCCCCCACTGGCTAAACCACCTACACCAATCATGCAGAATATTATATGTATGTATTGTGGGCATGAGCTTAAGTCACTAGAGAATACCGGTATTGTGGGCACATTAATGGCAATATGCTTAACATGCTCAACACGCCCCCCACATGTGCGGTGGACAATCTCAACTAAAAGCCTAAGCTGATAATTGGATTGCACATTAATGGCTATATGCTCAACATGCTCAACAGTTGAACCATTGAGTCATCGTTATATACATCCTTCCAAATACTATGTCGGGTCGGGGTATGTGGGCCCTTAGAGTTGGGGATTCAACCTTTTGGGAGAAGAAATATTATCATTTACCATTCCTATCATGATTGAGACTCTTTGTATTATTATAAATTCTTACCTTCATGTATTTCAAACATCATGGATTGATCAATAACCCCCGTTGATGGCGGCTGGTAACATCACCTCATATTCTCCCACCATATTCGATATTGTCTATCCAACCACATCCCTGATAAATACCTTACAAACAACCTATCACTTTATCCCCATTAAACATGCATATTTCCTCATACTATCTATTCTGGAATACTCAACTTGTCAGTGGATACGTTGATGGCACGTTACCATGTCCGACTTCATCTATTAAAGCTCCGGATGAGTGTTCTATTGTACTTGCGTTCCGAATGAATGTTCTGTTGTAGCTACGCTCTAGATGAGTGTTCCGTTGTAGGTGCGCTCCGGATGAGTATTTCGTTGTAGCCGCACTCCAAATGAGTGTACTGTTGTAGCCGATGCTACGGCTGAAAATTTGGTCCGTCGGGACTCTTTTATTTTGTCCATGCTCATCTCCTCTCTCTCTGATGAAGTTTTGTATGTTGCAGTGAGACATGCCATGTCCTAGGCCCTGTGAAGACTATTGAAGTTGCCTTTGGGTCTTTTTCTCGGGCATGAGATTTGAGTCCCCATAGTTGGTTGCATTCTTTGCAGCTTTAATTTGCGCCAGTGAGATTCCACTACGATTGAGTATCTTGTCAAAGCTAAGGTTTTAATTGGACTCCCTGAGTACGGGTGATCTCTTCATTGATTACCAAAGAACCTGTGACAATTGATCAACTGATAGACAATAGACAACTCCACCAAGCCACTAACCACTGCAATGTTAAATGATCTAAAGTAATAGCTCAATGTTCTCTCTAGAGAACCTTAAGCTTGATGGGGCATATTAAGACTCTATATTCTAGACACACTATAATTCCTTCTCCATCTCTGTGTATTATTAATAATATTATCATTTACCATTTCTATAGACTCTTTGTATTCTTATAAATATTTATTTTCATGTAGTACTTCAACTACTTCAAACATTATGAATTCCTATAAATACTTATCTTCATATAGTATTTCAACCACTTCAAACATTATGAATTAATCAATAATAAGATAATTCTCAAAATTATTATTCTCATCACCTACTCTTCTAAACAGAATAATTAATTCAAAATAAGTTAATAAGTTTTGTTTTGTTGGTAGTAACCTGATACGCAATTTTACGAGCATTTGGAGCCTATTCACTAGTTTAAAGTTAAGATCGTCTTTGTCCGAATATTTTTCAAACAGATGTCATTATCTTACCAAATTTAACAATGATAGTTTTTTCATAAATAAAAAATTTAAATTGGAATATATAATTAGAATAATGAAAGTCATGACGTCAAAAAAAAAAAAATATGAAAGTCATGACGCCTCACCTTCTCAACCACTTTTAAGTAGTTTTAATTAAAAATACACTCTCTTACCTAACACCCTGTCTTATTTTATTAGCATTATTTATTATTTTGATGGCCGATTTGACTACAAAAGATTTAAAGAAAGTTGCTATACTCCCCTACATTTATCACATATATATGTACACTAGTTTTTGTACGCGCTTTGCACGAATAGGATAATGTCCAATAATTATTTTTAAATAAGTATTTTAAAGTATATCAATGTAATAATATATAAGAGATACTCATGCATAAGTAAATAAATATTGAATTTGTTTATTTAAATCGGTAATTTAAAGTATATAAATGCATGATAATATATGAGAGATTGATTATAATTGTCACTAAAATAAACGTTTGCAACTTTGTAATAACGTTAGTCTAAATACTTAGTCTTAAAGCGATAGCCTAAATAAATACTATTTTTTATTTTTTATTTAAATTTCTCTAATTCTTCTTAATTCATTTTTGGGTAGCATTGTTATTGTTTTCATCTTCATTACATGTCCTTTTTTTTATTGGTTGTAGTTCCTGATTTATAATCTCTGATACTCAACTTTGAATGCTATGTATTTAGTCGAGCTAATTATTTGACCAAAGTTTATGTTAAACTTTATATTATATATATTTTTTTTAATACATTTTAACATATTCATAATATATGTTTAACAATTATGCCAACTATACTTGGGATGAGGTTCGAACCTAAGACCTTATATAAATTAAGAATATGTTAACCATAATAAATAGTAAACGGAATATTCCGTTACTAAAGTTTAAACTAACGGAATTTAGGGTTATTTAAGGGAAGAAAATAATATAATAGAGGGTAAATAAGGAAAACCATTAAAAGATACTAAAATCAAAATAATATGAATTATTCATTTTAAGAAACAATTAGTACCGACATTTTTTTTGTTCCAGTTAAAGGCCTAACATTATTCACTCTTATTAGATTTGTATTTGTATGTAGATGTAGATGTAGATGTAGATGTAGATAGATTTGTAGATATCCACTCACTTCTTAATGTGACATTTTACGATGAACTAAAATTTAAAATTAAAAAAAAAAAATCACACAAAAATAGTTGCATCAAATAGTGACTATAAATTGTGTGGCTTTTGTAATTGTGGGAACTGGTAAACATTTCTCTATTTAAAATATCAAATATTATAAAAATTTATGTATAGTTGCTCTTGCTGAAATTATTACTCTTCAATCTCTCCTGCACTAGCAATTGTGCTCCCAAGATCATGGGACTTTTTGAGTGTTTTGATTTTTTTTTTCTTCTATTACAATAAAACTAGCTAGTTTAATGTATGAACAATCAATGACTTCAAGAGTTCAAGTTTATATTAGCATGCCTAACAAGCAATGGGCCAAACACTTGAACATATTGAATCCTCATTCAAGTGAAAATCTCCTAAAAAGGTTGTTATTTACATATGTGTTCAGACTTTTAACGTTCTACTTAAACGACAATATATAGCCTTGGCCATTCTTTAAATATTCATTTCACAATACTAAAATTTGATCAATTTATCATCTCAATCGCTCTAATTACTAGCAAATTTTAGTTGGTGAGAGAATGATTGATATATCTAATAATAATATTAATAATACACTACAACTCATACGGGTAGCTCAATCGATTTGTGGATGACAGATTGTGAACAATAACATATGATCGAGCCCTAGCAATTACAGTGTAATTTATCTATATATTCACTACCATGTCCAGTCGGGCAGAAGAATAATGCACTGCAACAATCATTAATTGGAATTGGGAACAAGGCGCCATACGGCGAGCTATAGAGTCACTATTGCATTATGGCCAACAGGGTCACTGTTTGTAATTGAATGATAAGATTTGATCAGATGAGCCCATACTCATAAGTTTTTGCCTTTTTCTTTCTTTTTTCTTGTTTATTATTTTTTTCCCCTTCAACTTTTTTTAAAATAAAAAGGAATGAGTTCATGGAATGTTTGTTTTCTTTGTTTCCGTTCATTTAAAAATTCCAACCGTTGGACCAAATTTGATTAAATCTTTATAGGTGTATGCAATATTTGTAAAATTAAAACTCTATATAATTTAAAAGAGTCACCATAATTTAAAGTTTTAGAATGAAAAATCCACCAAACTATATTATGAACATCGTGGTTAGAAAATTAGTTCAAGGGATTAGGGACTGGGGATTAAAACCTACCCCCTGCCCCCTACCCCCTCCCCCCACACACACTACACACATATATATACATATATATACTTATAATGGATCAAGTGAGAATTTGCACGTAGATGCGAACGTGTGAACTTGTGTATTTATAATAATTATATTGTACATTTTTAGAAGGTTTAATTTGTATTACTCTTTGAGTACTAACTATATATTGCACATTTAGAGTTTCTGTTGTGCATTTTTATAATTTAGTGTGTGGGGTGTATCCGTGTATGTGTAAAGATTTAAGTAATAACAAACTCTCATGTAAAAAGTGATGTCTGGTATGATGTATCCCTATAAATAAATCAAAAATTGAAAGTTGCTAGAAAATTTGGACAAAAAAGGTATATTTATTTTTATAAATATTGTGAACTTAAAAATTTAAAAGTTTATAATAATTATAAAATTGACCCAGAATGTTAGTAATGTATTCAATTCCTCTCACTTACATAATTAGAGATTTGTTTTCGTCACTATTATTAAAAGTCTCAAAAGGGTGCGTTGGAAGATAACCGTACTCTTTGTCACAACAATAATATATAGTTTTTTATTTATTTTAAAAAACAACAATATATAGTTTATGTTAATGCTTATAAACCAGGACTATGTGGTCCAATGGTACCCGGGTTGGACTTCCATTAGGAAGGTTGTGAGTTCAAGCCTCAGTGGAGGTGTTATTAGCTCTATGTGGTCCAATGGTACCCGGGTTGGACTTCCATTTGGAAGATTGTGAGTTCGAGCCTCAGTGGAGGCGTTATTAGCTCTTTGTGTTTCAGTAGGTTGAGAAAGTATATGAACAGATACTACATTGTAATAGAGCTAGTACCATTCAAAAAAAAAATGTTAATGCTTATAATATTTGGACCTATTGTACTCATTGTTAACGGACAGATTCGAATATTAGATGCTGTGCCACCATTATTGAGAGTAACATATATCTACCTGCACCGATAATTGAAAACTGACCACATAAATAAATAAAAAAAAAATACTAAAGACAAAAAATGTGTGAGACCTTCTCATGAATCTTTATTTATGAGGAGAATCACATCAAGATCAAATGTGCATTACTTATACTGAAAAATGTAATATTAATAAACAGAAAATATAATATTTTTGAAGAAAAATGTGCAGAGTAATATTTTTTACATCAAAATATAAAAATATTTATATTTGTTTGTGATTCTTATATATTCTTATGAGTTCTATTACATGAATTTTTATTTTCTATTCGTTCACTTTTACTTACTGATGTGAAGTATTTTAACTTGTGAATCCTTATTAAAAAAAAAAAAAAAAAAAAAAGTTTACATATATGTGAGAATGATTCCCTGAGTAGCATATATAATATTCCTGCCAGCATTCAATTCCAAAGAAAATGGCATTTTTTTCAGATATTCTCAGATTCACTCTTCTTCTTCTTCTCACTCTACTGCTTTCTTCTTCTTCTTCTTCTCAGTTTGCACATGGATGCTACACTTCCATATTTGCATTCGGCGATTCACTGACTGACACTGGAAATTATCTTGCCTTGTGCCTGAAGGGACTTCAATCTGATGATCGATACCCCTACATCGGCCTCCCGCCCTACGGAGAAACCTTCTTCCACCACCCCACCGGCCGCTGCTCCGACGGCCGTCTTGTTCTAGATTTCATCGGTATATATATATGCATTATGTATTCAATTAAGTATCATTACCAAGCTTCTTAACCAATGCTAATAATAAAAATTTTTGATCTACTTGATTGCAGCGGAGCATTATGGGGTTCCGCACGTGCAGCCATACTTGGGCGGCCAGAAAGACAATTTTGAAGGCGGCGTGAACTTCGCCGTCGCCGGAGTTACGGCCCTGGACGCTGAGTTTTATCAGGAAAGAGGTATTGAGCTGCATAACAACATATCCATGAGGACTCAACTCCAATGGTTCAGAGATTTGCTCCCATCTCTCTGCAAAAACTCAAGTAATTAATACGATCGAGTCTCATCTTCCACGCTAATATATATTGCTTAGTTAACAGCAAATAACATGATTAACAATGGCGGCAGGCTGCACTGAAATGTTTAAAAAATCGTTATTCGTATTTGGACCGTTCGGCGGCGACGATTATGGTAACGCCATCTTTCAGAAGAGCGTAGAGGATGCCCAGTCATTTCAGCCTCTCATCATCGACGCCGTCGCTTCTGCGGTTGAGGTAATTAATTTCAACCTAATTAGGATTTAGAACCGCCAACGTGAAATGTCGTGAAAACTACGTAGTACGTATAACCTCCAAAATTTTATTTTGGAAGATTGTTTCTTTTGTCACCTTCGACGAAATTTCGTCTAGGCAAAAGCTTCCAAAGGTATTTGAGTCCCACCAGAAAATAATAATTGCCTTTAAAGAATACGGAGTATAATATAATGAATAATGACCATGTTTGACAACATATTTATTTTATCAGTCAATTTTCGTTTTTTGTAACAGTTTATTACTTCAAAATTAAAATTCAAAAAGCTGATTGATAGGTAAATACGCACAATGACTACTAGTAGGAACCACAAGTAAATTATTGATGTAATATTATACTCTGAAATGTCAAGTGTCCCTTGAAAAATATTATATTCATGAAGGGTAAAGTGTCCTTTGTAGAATTTTATATTCCTGAAAGGTCAAGTGTCCCTTGGAGAATATTATATTCCTGAAAGGGTCAGGTCCTACACCTATATAATTAATGGCGCTAACCCTTCAATCATGGATCATCATTCATGAGCTAATCCAAACCAATTAAGGCATAACTTCTTTCATAGATTCCATTTCTCCATTTTTCCTTAATCATACATACGGTAGTTGACTACCCCGTAGTCAATAAAACCATCACTACTAAAAACAGCTTTTCCTATTAGTTTTTTTAAAAAAATAAATTATGCCCTTAAAAGGTCATTTAATTTTGCATTGCTAATTTATAAAATATCTTTCTACAACCTGCTAATGCTTACTCTATCAACTAGTCAAACCTGCTAATCCAATCTACTAACAGTTATTTGCAGCTAATAACTATTTACCAAACACCTGCCCCAATGCATATATATATATATATATATAAATGCGCAGGAATTGATCGAGTTAGGAGTGGTAAACATGATGGTCCCAGGAATGATGGCAGACGGATGTTTAGCCGCCACGTTATCATTCTTCTATGGTTCAAATGATGGGGATTACAACCCAAAAACAGGTTGTCTGGATTGGCTGAATAAACAATCAGAAAATCACAACATCCTTCTTCAAAAGGCACTGTCTCGCATTCGAGACCGTCATCCTAATGTCTTCCTTGTATACGCTGACTATTACAATGCGGGATTACAACTTTACAACTCCCCAGAAAATTTTGGTGAGTACTAATTGTGTTGACACTCACTTTTATATATAGTATATAGTAGATGGGACCATCAGAATAACATACATTAATTATGTATCCTTTTTTTTGGTTGGTGATAAGGATTTGAAAGCAAACCACTAGAGGCTTGTTGTGGAGGAGGAGGACCATACAATTATAACTCCAGCAGAAGATGTGGCTATCCACCCACCCACGCCTGCGTCGACCCTTCGGATCATATCAACTGGGACGGTGCACACTTCACTGAGGCAGCATATCATTGGATTTCCAAGGGTTTACTGGATGGCCTTTTCACCACTCCTCATATTAATTCCTTGTGTTTGCAGGCAAACCAGAACGGGGGAAACACATATTAATATCCAATATTGTATTTTATTGTTTTTAATATGGTATGATTTCTTTCGAATTTAAGCCAAACTCGAGCTATCATATGTATGAAGATTGTATATATGTTTTGGATGATTTCGTAGGCCTTAGAGCTCCGCCATGTTTGACAAACCTAGCTTGCAAACTGAAGAGCTGTTAAGCTACCTGATTATGTTAAAAGTTTTTGCTACAATTAATTTTTTGATAGGCTGATAAATGTAAAAAGACTAAAAATGACGTCTTTATAAAATTTAAATAGGTTTGTTTACCTATTAAAATTTAACATTTTGAAATGAAACTATTAGGATCTAGCATCTCATAATAAAGTAGCAATATTATTGCGGATCTCCCTTCATTTCAATAGAAGTCTCACTTAAAATTTCTTTGATGGAGATATTACTACTTGATGGAGAATTGGAGATATATGATTTTTTTTTTATTTAATATTTGCAACTAAACATTCATTGCCAAGAAAATAAAAACAAGAGGACATAGAATTTGTAAACAAAGAAAACAATGAATAAAAATAATGAAAAGAGAAAATGTCAAACGAGTTTTAATTGGGAGGATAAATGATGTCATTTATTTAAAATAATAATAAGGATAAAGATTGGAAAAACGTTAGGATGCTACTAGCTTATTTTTGAAATGCTACCAAAAGTATCGTTTCAAAATAAGCTCTCATTTTAAGCTATCAGCTTATTTTTGAAACATTACAACAGAGCTTATAGCTTTATTATCTATAAACTCCTAAATAAACTCTGCCAAACATAGTCATCATATAAAATTATAAATTTAACTATTTCTAATACTAAAAAATGAGTTCTACTACATGTATGTACTCCTAAATGTTACTCCATGATGTGGCGGACTCTGATAAATTATTTTTTTCATATGGGTCCGATACAAGTGTCTACATCAAGATTTTGTGTGTGGTGTAAAAGTTGGGAGCGAATACAACTCTCCCTTCCCACAGTGGGACCCATCTCTCCTGCAAAATTTTGGTCTCCTGCAGGAAGAACCTAAACACCCTCTCTCTTCTCTCTCTCTTCCAACAAAGTAAATTTATCTTAAAACCCGCAAAAGATCTCCTTAATGGGGATGCCCACACTAGTCTCGGAATTTTTGTAGTTTTTTTTATGTGCCACTTAGGAGAATTTATTAATAATTAATATGTTATGTGCATTCAACTTATTTATAAACACATAAATTGTTAGCTATAAGTACAGAATATGTCAACAGTCAACACATAACTTTTCGAACATGGTCTACAATGCATGATGGATACTGGTCTATAGTATAACAATGGATGAAATTCGAAAAATTATATCGTGTACCCTGGCCCAAAATGACGTCGTTTTTATAAGTTGGTGGGGAGTTGACGCGACAGACACCGTTCCATCCGTCCAATCCTGTTACAGGTTTTTTTTTTTTTTTTTTTTTTTTTGTGTATTATGTTAAGAGTTTATGTGTATTACGTTAAGAGTTTATGTGTATTACGTTAAGAGTTTATGAGTTTTATGTTAAGAGTTTATGTGTATTATGTTAAGAGTTTATGTGTTTTATGTTAAAAATTTATGTGTATTATGTTAAGAGTTTATGTGTAATATGTATTATGTTAGATTATGTGTATTATGTTATGAGTTTATGTGTATTCTAGTATACAATTCTGTATATACGAAATAGATAATTTTTTAGAGTGCACAAAGCATTGTGTGCCCTGGTGCACGATATAACAATTGATGAAATTGCAATCATTATTGCATGGACCATAAATAAAAAGTACATTTTTAATATATCAAGGATACATTATTTATGTACGTAAGGTACATTTTTTAAAAGTATATTTTTAATATACTAAGAATACATTATTTTATATAATATACCATCAATACAAAAATAATGTATTTTTAATATATTAAAAATATATATGATATTCAATTATTCATGGTGGAGAGAATAATTTGCCATGTATGACTAGGCTAAATAAGGTGAATTCGTTTTCTGATCCAAAGCCCAATAATTAAATTTGGTTGGACCGATTATATATTTTGTGTTGGACTATTCTGCAATCACTGACCAATCCATTATTTAATTCAGTTTGGGCAAATTGTGCAATCGTTATATCCTACACCAAGGCGCACATGGCCGCGCGCCTCCTAAAACGACGTCGTTTTGGGATAGTGTTGGGAGGCGCGGTAGAAAGTTGCTGAGATTATGTGTATTTGTTCACAACGTTATGTGTATTTGTTCACAACGTTATGTGTATTGGTTCATACAGTTATGTGTATTTTTTATACAATTATGTACATCCGAATCAGAAAATTTGTGTGTATTATGTTAAGAGTTGATGTGTATTATGTTAAAAGTTTATGTTTATTATGTATTATGTTAGATTATGTGTATTATCTTTTAAAAAGAGTATGTATATTTTGTTATATAATTATGTACATTCATGTATAACATTATGTGTATTCTAGTATAACATTATGTACATTCTTGAACAGCGGGTTTTTTTTTTTAAAAAGAAAAAACTACTGCCATTCACTGGGGCGGGAAATTTAAAAAAAAAATAAAATTAAAACGACGTCGTTTTGCATCTGGGCGCATAGTGCAACGCGCGCCGTGGTGTAGGATATAAATTGCCCAAATTGTGTTCCGATATGTCCATACAATTGCATACCCACAGTCCCACATGCTTCCCAGTTTCGTCGTTATGCTGTGGAACTGTGTTCACATTGCAAGGTGGACACAATTTTATTTTCATAATTATTGAACTATATATTCATAATTATAAAATTATATATTCATAATTATTGGACTCTATATTCACAATTACAGAATTCTATGTTCATAATTATAAAGTTATATGTTCATAATTTTTGAACTTCATATTCACAATTATTGAATCTCAATGTTCATAATTACAGAACTATATGTTCATAATTCTATATTCATAATTATAGAACTATATGTTCATAATTTTTGAACTATACATTCAAAATTATGAACAGTTTTGAAACCGTGTCCACCATAATTTACCCAGTTTTGATGAATGTTATTCCCAATTTAAGATCGAGGTAAGGTAGTTTTGAATAATAATAAAAAAAATCCGACTTAAATTCAAATATTTTTATATTCAATTTGACTAGTTCATGAGCCTAATTGAGTTATTTATTAATTTATTTTATATGTAATAAACATAATAGAAATGTAATATTGAGTTGATTTAATAATATTATGTTGTAAAATAATTATTATAATTTTTGTGTGCAAATAGAAAGTTGGAGTTCAGTCAAATTGAACTCAAATAACATAAGCTTGAGTTGGTTCAAAACTTCAAACTCAAAAAAATTAAAATTTGATCAAACATGAATTTTAAAATTTGATTACTTAACTTAGTCTTAAGTAGATTCGATTATACTCTTAAGATTTTTTTTAGATGGATGTTGCTTATCAATTTTCTAAGGTTGGTGTTGCGGTTTGATATATCAAATGATATGGCCCAAATAGCCGATAATTATAAATAAATCCAATCAAGTTTAAATTAAATTATTATAAATAAATCCAATCAAGTTTAAATTAAATTATTATAATCCAATCCAAGTGGTTGGGAGAGTTAATTGTTGGGATTAAGACATTATGGAAAGCAAGGAATGACAAGATTTGTCACTCTCAAACCACCCACCCACCTCCATGATCTTCAAAGTCAAAACACACTTCTCCTAATGGTCTTCTGTAAATGAAAAGGACACTACAATCATTCTTACTCACATTCATATCGAGTCCGACTCACTTCAGACTGTTCAAGGATGGGTATATTTTATTTGTTAAACAATCAACAAATAGGGCCGCTCACTTGTTAGTTAGAGAGGCTCTTTCTTTATCTGATTGTATAGATTGGGTTAATCATCCCTTCCTTCCTTTGTACTGTTTTGTTTTCGGACCATTCTTAATACATCTTCCTTTCCCCTTCAAAAAAAAAAAAAGGGAGATGTGCAAATTGGTTTCCTCAAGTAGGTGAACAAAGTTCCCTTCCACAAGCTAACGTGGTAGGTGAAGCTGTGGTAGGTGACTTTTACGGGAACCTTTTTTTTTTTTTTTTTGGAAAGCAAACAATGAAACTTTTCATTAATAAGCATCCGAATAGAGAACACGAGAAATAGAAGCAGTAGCCAGTAGGGATAGAAATCCACTCCTTACAGAGTTACATCAATATCAATATGTACTGTATTAGTACGTTTTTGGCAGGATTTGAGTGCGTGATGTTGACCCAGGTTGTAGTGCATTGCCCATTGGCTGATAGAATTATTTCTCCTCAACTTAAACTTAGATAAAAGTATCTACAAGGCCCCTATACTATAGTATTTTATTCAATTTAATTCTTATATTTTTATTTTGTTCAATTTAATCTCTGTACTTTCAAAGATAGTGTAATTAAGGACAATAATTAACGGTGTTAATATTACCATTAACTTAGGTTACGTGGCGCACTGGCGCTGACGATATTTATATTCATACTCATATATTACTTTATAAATATTTAAAATTAATTATTTTTACCACTAATATATTAAATTAGTATGTCCAAAATAAATCATTACAACCATGTTCCTAATGAGATTTGGACAATTGTCCTTAGCTTCACCATTTTTAAGAGTAGAGGGACTAAAGGGAACAGAATAAAGGTACAAGGACTAGATTGAACAAAACACTATAGTACAGGGACTTCGTAGGTACTTTAACCCTTAAACGTGCTGTACTCTCCAATGCATAATAATTACGAGATGTACTACCTGATTAATTAATAAGAGCCAATAAAATTAGACAACACGAATTTAAAAAATGTTCGTTCAATTATTTGATGAAATGAATAGTTTAGATTGTTTAGATTTTAGTTTTTTTTTTTTTTTGTAATTTTATTTTTATACTTTACACTCTATTATATTATTTTCTCTTCTTAATTAACCCCACATTCCCTTAATATAAACTTTAGTAACGAAATATTTTGTTAACTATTTATTATTTTTAACTTACTCAATAATTTCTATAACAAAGGTCTTAACTTCGAATCTCATCCCAATCAGAGTTGTTATAATTGTAAAACA